GAATAAAGGAGGATCAACGGAAAAGGTCGGGGACAAACGTCCCGACTAAGCGAAACCCGTTTGATGTCGCGGTGAATTGTCCGGACCGTTACATGCTGCGCAGAGTCGCGAAGCTCGCAGAGGTAAGGGGACTATCCCTCTCAACGGGATTCCCCTCTCGTGGAGGGGAAAGCTGCCGTCTTTTTAGTTTTATTATCAGTCGGGACTTCGGGCAATATGCGTGATCTGTTTGGTATTTTGAAAAAAAAACATCACAGACATGTTTTACAGTATATAGGTATAGCCCTACAATATATGTTTCAAATATAGCACGATAGGTCCACTTTAGGTAAAAGTTATTAACAGTATACATATTTACAGTGTTCCCACATCTTTATCATCATTGACATAGCTGGCCGCCATTAGAAGGGCGTAATGGTTGAATAGACATTACCGATGATGAGTAATCAAGGTGTGGTGTCTGTAAAATGTACCAGTATCTGGATTGTCCACGAAAGTAATATTACTTTTTCGGCAAAAATGTCAGCGTGGACGTTATGAAGGTTGTTGAAAATACCAGGTACGTGATGCATAAAACAACATTTACATGGTATTTAAAGGCTGAACTAACTGCCAAAGAAGTTGTCTTTGAGAGTATTGCATTAATGATTGAGGCCACCATGACGCCTCTGTGAAGTACATGAACGGTGCATAGAATAACTTTGATGGCATAGCGGCAAAGAGAAAGGAAAGTTGAAGGCAACTCAAATGTCATTTTGACTTTTAAATGAACAAATCCACACATAAAGCCAAAGTATGCAGGAATGTCTTAAATTCAGTCATGCTGATCTCAGCCTAAGTCAAGTCAGAGACCATTCCCATCTAGAAAATCAAACATTTGAAGCAGGACTTGAAAATTGTTGATGATTCATGGTCCCTGAGCAATTTGACAGAGCTTGAGTAGTTTTGTAAAGATAATGGGGAAAAATTGTCCAGATGTTCAAAACCTTTGCTGTTGCCAAAGGTGCCTACCTCAGTTCGACTGAACGAATCTGTGTAAATATTTTACTTTTATAGATGCACTTTTTTTATTGACATAAAATACCCATTAAGCCAAACCAAATGCTTTGTCATCAAACAATAAAAACAAAACCTTTTTTATAGGGTTGCACCCTTGTAGGAAAATGTAAAATAATAGTTTGGTTTCAAATAATTCATGTGTTACTCAAACACACCGCAGTCAGATATGAATAGATACTGTATGTTCTACATTGTAGACCTTAATGACGGTTAGAGTCCTCTAATGACTGTTACCCTCAATACGTTGAGGCCTGTGAGTCCTCAAAACATATTTTACCCTTCAGGAAGAAGCCACTAAAACACTGTCACTGTGGTACAATATTATATCTAAATAGCCAACTTATGAAAAATAGATTCATACAAAATGTGACATGGCTTCTAAAGATTCCAGAAAGTGGCATGGTATATTCGTGACACAGTCAGCTTGCCCTGACTGCTGTGGTGGCTTTAACAGCCAAAGTCTTTCTGAGTATCACTTACTCCATGAGCTACTCGCAAGGGACGGGGAGGCCAGGCTGGATTCCACTTTGAGTCCCTGGATATTAGTTTCATATCACAGATAACACACAAACACAAAGGAGAGAAAGAGCCAGCCAGTGAGGAAAACAGGGTCAGGGACAGAAGAGGAGAGAGGACACACGCCAAACATGGACATATGACATCCTTAATCAACATTAAAACAATATATCATGCTTTCAACAGGCAAATAATATGTGACACAGTTATCTAATGTTTCCCATGCGTCTCTCTAAGTCTGAGTTAATGCATTATTTTATATTTACATTAAGAGTTTCACATTAAGACCTAATCGCTATCCAGAGAAAAACAGCTCAAGCTTGTAATCGTTAGTGTGTGTCATTAATCACCTTATTTAAAAATGATACGGTTCCGCCGATAATTATGGAGTGAACATGTCCTATTTTTAGACATCTAAACAGTATGAAATGCTGGATGACAAAGGCCTTTAGGGTTTGTTGTTGCATGTCATTTTAACAGACACATTTATTCCACCAAATCTGTACTGCACAGCCGAACATACCCCCCAAAAAGTAGTGCAAATGTTTTCATGAGTTGCTTCTCTTGATTGGTGAGGTCATATTAAATAAGATCATTTTAATAAACAAGGATCATTAAATCAAACGGTCAAACTGAGATGACATTCAACCCCAGAATGAAGTAGACTCTCACCAGAATTCACTTGTTCTCTTGTCTTTGAAACATAGATAAAACCCATCGATTTAAAACTGAAATATCCTTTTGGAATTTCTTTTTTTTAGATTTTCCAATTTAATTCAGAACTTGACAAGACGTCAGAATAAAAATAAAGGACGAGTGAAAACCACACTGTCATATGACATAATAGATGTATTTAATATTTTGTTATTTTGTGTTTAAACTCATTTAGAAAATTATTGGGTTTCTTTTTTTGTGTAGAGCATTATTAAGCCTGATAGGAGGTACATTGAGAAGTACCAGATGTAAACTCAAAACAACTGCGTAACATTGTACCCTCTTAAATGTGATTATATGCCATCTTTATACACTGATGGTCAAGGTAATCCCTCAATACAGCCATAACGGTATTAGCAGGGAGTACACTGCTACAGCATTGGAGATAATGAGCTGTAAGGGGCAGGACAGCCAGTGATGACTTCACTCGTCTGGCTCTGGGATGGGAACAAATGGAGCCTCGCTGGGTAATTAAGAGACACCCAGGCCTCACTGGGATATGCCAGGCAAATGGGAGAGAGGGAGCAGAAAGGGAAAGAGGGATTGAGAATGCAACCCTATTGTGTTTCATGGAGGGATTTGGACAGTGAGGCACTGGTCTTGCGGTCTGTCCTAAGGCCATGCTTTGGGGTCTGGTTACAACACCTGCCTTCAGCCACCCCCGTCCAGCCCGACCCCTGTAAAATGAGTTATCATATCAGACTTCTGCATTATGGAAATGTCCGTGTGCGAGGAAATGTGTGGGAAAGGACCATCTTAATAGCCCATGCTAATTGTGAGCGTTCTCAGTGATGTCATTGCAGTGTTTATATGTGTAGCGAGGGTGAGAAGCAGGTGACACTGGCAGGGTTCACCGCTGATGTAATTGTGCCTGAATGATCTGTTCTTTGGATCATATTATCTGCAGTTAGGTCATTGCCTTCATGTGGTTTTTCTTAGCTGCAGTATTATAGCTAATAACTGTCTTACTCTAAAGGTGATCTCACACAATTTACGGCACGTGCGTGTCTTTGTGCGTGTGCACAGTTATTCAGCATGTTCATATTGCAAAATGCAAGTGCATGCATGTGTTTTTATGGGACTTGCAGTATACATACATGTGCACATGTATATCTTGATGACATTTGTGCAATTGTATGAGCCAAATGTATTTATATATTTAGCAGGGACAGTATTTTTAGCAGCTAACGCGGATGAATTCTTGGTCTACTTTCTCACCCTCCCACGGTGCCTCCTCTGTCTCCCAATGGAGTTATGGAGTTATGGGCCGTCTATCTATGTGCATACTCAGGACACTATACATATACTCACACATATTTGCACAGCAGTGAAGAATCATAAATCTATGTCTCTACATAAGAGACGTTATCGTATCTAATCCAAAATCTATAATCCAAATGTTCTGTGATACATTGTTAGTGACTTAGATGAATGCTGATATCAAACTATTAAAGACATGTAACATATATCCTTCTGCTTGTCTTCCCTAGATGTGGATCTGATGATTTGTAAGCACCAGGGTCCGTCTTGCTGCACCCGGAAGATGGAGGAGAGCTACCAGTTGGCTGTAAAAAGGGAAACCCTCCAAAACATTCAGTCCTACAGCTATGAGCTCGAGCACCTCATCTCCGGCCACTCGGATGCCTTCCAGGGTAAGTGGTCGGACAAAGGGGCCAGACTGGGGTTTGTTACGATTGGCCTGAGACACTGAGTTGTTGTTGTTGATGGATGGGAAAGAAATTATGCGTGTTTGGTGAGGTCATTTCGCTATCTGGTACATGTTGGACCTACCAGTATTTGGGACTTAGAGTATAGCATGCTTGCTTCTGCAAAGTATTTAATTTAAAACTTGACCCAGCTTCATGCTGACCTGCCACTGAACTTGTGACCCTTATTCGGATCCAAAATTCAGCAATAAAAACAAAATACCTATGTTTGTTTTCTTGCTTCCAACGAATATTTATTTGTCCAATATTTTGTGAAAAAAGTTTTGTATTCAGTTCCCTAGGCTCAATGTAGCTGGCTTGCAGGCAAGTGTGCAACTCAGGAAATGGGCATGGCTTCACTCCCTCTCCCCTCCCCTCCCCTCCCCTTTCTACTGTGGGTTTGGCAGCAACAGAACTACAGAGAGTGACCACTGAGGGTAAATGGGGGGAAAAAGAGGGTATAGAGGTCTTTTTCCGGGCCTCCAGTGTTTGTTGTGAGTTGATCTGCTTTGTCATTATGTGACCCCGCTGTCAGGACAGCAACACAATTACCTGAATCCTTAAACAGATGACAGTAGTTTTGGGAAGTGAAACAATCTGTGCACAGTCATTATTTTTGTTTGTTTGTTAAGTGTTTATTTTTGGTGATTCTTTTTCCTTGCGCTGCCTCTTTGGTAGCCTGGTCAGTTCAGATGTCTGAGTTCCGAATAAACAGACCCTGCTGTAGATACAAAGCCTGTTTGAGCTAGGTCTCGCCTGCCAAAGGGTTTTGTGCTACGCCCAACTGAATCAAGCAATGCACCATTTGCCCAAGCTTGTCTTTCCTCTTCCTCTACTGATTGCCGTGTCATTTAAATTTGAAAATTTCCGAAATAGACCAAGTTTTTCCTCTCCAAAACCTCCGAACACAATCCCACAGAGGGCGGGAGACATGCTTTGGATGTTTTTAGTCCTACAGGAATTTTGGTACCATGCAATTAGTTTTATAAGACAATGGATTGGTTAGAAGCCATGTTGACAAAGTTGTGTTTTATGATGGATGGGGATGTGTCCAATTCTTATCCCATGTTTAAAAAAAGGTGTAATTGAGAATAAAACTGTTGAGGGAATAGACCTGGAGAGTGTATTATTTGTAGTGTTGTCATGGAAATGATTACTGTCATGTTTAACTTGTGAATACGTAGCGTTGTAAATACGTAGTGTTTAACGTAGCAAAGCACCACCAAGATATGAATTTCCAGTCCCTATATACAAATTACTATATACGTTTACACAGAATGGAAATGAGCCTTCTTACAGATGTTTTACATGCAGTTTAAGTAAGCATGTTCGAGAAGTGTTTCTGGTATTTGTCTTTTTTATCATCATTAAGATCTTTCCCTTATTACCTCATGTCTGAGCCTGTCAGGAGAATGAACATCAGGTGTTCCACATATCCAGAGAAGGCCAAGATGGAAAATAACAATGGAATAACAATAGAAACTGGAGTATGGTGGTGCTGAAAAATGATGATGTCACTAGCCCTCAATGTACAAGGCCTTCTAAGGACAGTCTCTTTGCTGTCTGAGTGCCTCAAGTGGAATGTGAAGTAGCAAGTGTCTCATATACTGCATGAAGTAATGAGAAAATGAATTTGGCTGATATCCTGGTACAGTTATTCAGACACTGGGACATTGGTGGACACTTGTTTGTGGGTAGCTTTCTTCTCCTACCCCTTTTTGTTTGTACAATATATTTCCGATGGCATCTTGCAGTTCACCACTGAGCCACTAGTGTGCAGGCTAAAAACTCTTCTGCTGTTAATCTGTTTATTGGATAATACTTTCATGATGTGGCCACTGTTTTCTCTACTGCTTTCCTTCCCTCTGTCTTTCAACTCATACTGCAAATCTTATAAAGGCAATTCCTTTGTGTGTATGTTCTCTATGTCCTAAGGAGATGCTGTGTGTGTAAGGAGTGTGTCTGCGTGTGTGTTTGCGTTGGCCTGCATTTGTTTTGACAGCTCTAAAGGCCCTACTGTGCTTTGTCTTGTGTGGGAGTTGTCATGTCATGAGTATGACCCCATAAACACAGACCACATTTATTAATGCAATGAGAGTTTGTCCACTAATGTTACCGATACTGTATAAATATGAAGGATCAGGTTCATGTGCATGCTGCACAAACATAGCTTTAAAGTGAAACTGAACCAATCATCTTTGGGATTCTCCAGATATTGCCTTCCACTTTCACCTTAATACTGCTACACCCTAAAAACATGAAGGCATGTTACATATTTTTACATAACAACCTCCTTTTCCCCGTAGTATATCCTTTTCTCTATCTTTCCTATTACCATTAAACTTTCCCAAAACGTACAAAAAGATAACCCTCTCTCACTCTTAACACAAACAGACCGAGGTAATGAGTGTTTGGGCCTGGTGGTGGATAGGATAGATGTCAGCCCCAGAGCCCAGTCTAAGCTGCTCCAGTTTAAAGCTGCCATCAAGGGATTTTGCCTGTCAGCCTGTTCTAGCCAATCAGATCTAGAATAATCTTACTGACTGGACACCTCTCTGCTGTGTTCTGATTGGCTAAGACAAAGTTGAACAGATGGATTAACCACTTGAATCTTTGTATGTCTGTTTGCCCCACTACTCGTTAATCAGTAGATCTGTTGGGTTGGACTCTAGAGCCTTACTTTTAATTAGTTCCAACAACCTCTCGTATAAATAACTCGTTCAGTCCAATATGCAGCAATCACTTGTTGGCAAGTTGTTGTGCAGACAATCCAATTTGTTTGTGAGTGCGTGTGCATGACAGGTGGGAATGATGAGCAAGAGAGTCAGTATCTGGGTATAGTATCTACTCACACTGCTGGGGAGCAGATGTCAAGAAAATGCTGACACTTTTGATCACTAGTGTCACCGATATGAGCCCACGGCTAAAGGCCACGGCATCTGTGTGTGCGTGTGTGTGTGTTCAAGCATTTTGTGCATTGTGTGTGTGTATGTGTGTGCATAAATCTGTACCAAAGACATGAGAGCATGTACAGTATTTACCACCCATGCAAGTCACCACGACCACCTAAAGATTCAAATTGTCCTCACAAGAGCTGACAAACTCTTTTCAGAGAAATGCCTTTCTGCTCGGCTAGATAGCTCTCTATCATAAATGTAAGTGCCTCTCATTTAAAACTTGACGTGCCCGTTAATAAAAGTACTCCATTTGAGAAAGAGAGAGGGATAATAGAGTCTGTGGCAGGGATGATGCCTTTCCTCACTGAGGCGACATAATTAGCAGATTCTTGTCTCATCATCCAGGAACTCTCCAGAACACCCCTCCCCCCCCACCCCTGCTGTCCTGGGAGACAGCACATTCATGAGTGTAGTTGAATGAGATGATTCGGAGAGACATGACAATTGGTGATGAAAGAAAATAAACACTGACTTTATGGTTTGTTGGTGCCCTCAGGCTTCCTCAGGTGTCCGAGTTCAATCAACTGTAATTGTCTCTCTGACCCTGATTGCCTTTGTGGTGTCAGTAGACAGTATTCTTCATATCTGTCGCTCTTTACACCACTGTCTCTCATTCCAACCTCTAGGCGCAGACAGATGGATGAGAATATCTAGCCTCAAGCCTTATTGTTTATAAGCCACTCCAGATGAAAATTCCTTTGCTGTCTTCACTTTTACTGTCAAGAGCATCCTGGGTGGCTTACACAACACACCCTCGGTAAAGGCAACTGTCTTATTGATTAAATAGTGGTGATTTATGTGTGTTTGTGTGGGCATGTGTGTGTGTCTATAAGTGTGTGCAAGTGGGAATGATGAATCACTTGGCTGTGGTTGCCTATCTTCACTCTTTCATCGGAATAAAACTCCCCTCTATCTGGATTGCGATCTCTCTGCATTTGTCTGGAAGTCCTCTCACTTTTGCTTGTGATCTTGTTAGCCTGTCCTCTCTCACATCATTATGTTTTTGTTCTCTTACTTCATGTCTGCATGTTTTTTTCTGTGCAGATGTTTTGACCGACAGGGTTATTGCTCTAGAGGCTGATGCTTTGGACACAGGATGACATTGCACTGCACCATGAGCTCATGCTCAAATTAGGGAGGATATCCGGAATCCATCCCGACACGTCTCATTTAATCACACAGGGTGGAGTGGAAACGTGTTTATGGACCTAATAGTGGGAGCGAATATATTGCGTGTGTAAGTCTGCGAGTCTGAAGGATGTTTGCATTTTATCTACGCCTCCTGAGTCTCCTGAGTAGACATGACACATAAGGGCAGGATATGTATCCCTCAGAGTTTGAGGGGAAGGGAGGGGAAAAGCTCAAAGCCCCTTGCAGTCATAAAGTCAGACTCAAAGCGTCCCTAATTACCTCTGCTTTTTGTCTGTCCCTCTCACGTAAGCATGACTATGTGAATATCAAGAGAGTCAGGCCTAGAGAAGGAGAACAGAAAAACGAGAGCTTCATGGTTACCCACGTTAGAGAGGAAGTGTGCTCAGGTGTGTTTGAATATGGTTCTGTCAGGTGTGTGCGTAATGTGGTCTGCCTTTCAAGACTGTTGAATCAACAGGTTTCTGCCCTGGAGATTCACACTGTGCTGCTGCTCTCTGAAAACTCTCCCTTTTTCTTCCTTGGTGTCTCTCTCTGACTGTGGTCCATGCGTTGCCAGCATTGTTTGCTTAACAAGAGCCTGCTGGTACCAGGAATGCTATAGGGAATCTTCATGTCTCAAAGATAACCCACTTGCCAAGAGTGCAGAATGAAACCACAAACACTACATTCTTCTCCATCTTCTCCTTCGCCCCATAACTTCATTGTTTTTCTGCTCCCCAACAGCCTGAGTCTTCTTCACCAGCCATCCATGCTCCTCAATATTACATTCAAAGCCTAAACAAATATGAGCTCTGTGTAGATCAGCTTGCCGCCAGTCTCCACAGCTATAATTTGACA